AACACTTAATGAGAGGACGACTACTACGAGTGTATAGAGTTTTTTTTTGCAAAAAAAAAAGTTTTCAATTTATTAAAATGTAAAAAATTGTTATGGCTGTTGATGATGATGATGATGGTGGTGGTGGTGGTTGTTTTGGTGATGATGATGATGATGATGACGATGACGATGACGATGATGATGATGATGATGAAGAATCATTCTTTATCTCTTTTTAAAATAATGATTTTTGGAAAATATTTCGGGGAAAATTCCAAAAAAAAAAAAAAAAAAAAAAAAAAAAGGTTTAGACGTTTGAAAAAACAGAAATTGTCGCAAAATTAAAAAAAAAAAAAAATTGCGACAAATATCTACGGCTTGGCGCCATTTTACGTGTCGCGTTCTTTAAGTTAAAAAAGAAAAAGAAAAATCTCTAATGCGTAGAATTATTATTGACTAATTAATTGACTTTATTTTCTTTCTCTCTCTCTCTTTCTTTTACTATGTTACTTCCCTCTCTTTCTCTCTCTTTCTGTCTCTTATTATTCTCTATCTCTCCTTCTCACTCTCTATTCTCTGTCTATCATTTTCTGACTCTTACTTTTACTTTTTCTTTCAATTCTTCTTATTCCCTCTTTCTCTCTCATTATGTTATTTTCCTGTCTCTCTCTCTCATTTATCGTGTTGCTTTCCACTCTTTTTCTCTCTCTTTCTCTTACTCTCATTCACATTCTTATTCTCTCTCTCTTTCGAGAATTTCAGTTGCTTTTGCAATTTTTTGCTTTCTTTTTCTTTTTTCTCTGTCTCTCTCTCTCTATCTCACATATTATCACTCTTACTCTTTTTCTCTCTCTTATTATTTTGCTTTCTTCTCTCACTCTCCCTTTTTTTCGGTTTTCATTTCGTACGTTCAAAAATTTTATTTACTTATTTTTTAGATTTTGTTTTTTTGTTTATTGAAAAAAATACCAAGGGTCGGTTTGATTTAAATTTATTATTAACAAAAAATCTTTTAATTTTCATTTCAAAGTAGGCGTCGTTCGTAGTTTATTAAAAGCAGACGACATTTTTGTTTCCCCACTTTTTAATAAAAAAAAAAAAAAAACAAGAAAATTTCCGTTATTACAGACACTTATAATTTACCGAATTTTTTTTATTAGCGCACGCTCTCATTATTATTATTATTATTATTTTTTATGAATTCGACATCTAAGCATGAAGTTAGTGTATAAAGACGCGAAGTGTAATTTTTTTTTTTCATTGAAATTGTTGTTGTCGTAGTCTTCTGACGCCACGTTTTTTTTTTCCTTTCATTTAAATTGTAAATATATGTATACGAATGAGAAAAACATATAATTTCTTTTTTTTTTTTTTTTAATAAAAATTATATAATTTTATGAAAAAAAATTTCTCGAGATGACAAAAAAAGAGGAGGAGGAGGCGGAAAGAGAAAGGGGGGGAAAAAATTTAAAAAAAAAAAATTCGCCTCTTTGTTTTTCTTCTGCTATTGAAATTGACGTCATTTTCGAGAGTTACACACACGTCACAACTTTTTCTTTTTATATGCGTTTTAATTTTACCTTCTTTTTTTTTTTACCTTAAAAAGGTTTCGAGCAGTTTACTTTTCTTTTAAAAAAAAATTTTTTTTTATAAACAATTTCTATTTACACGATCGTTTCTCTCTCCTTCCACGACAACCGCAATCGAAATTTTTTTTTTTCAATTAAAAGGTTACTTGGAAAAAAAAATTTTAATAATTCTTAAAAGGGAAAAATGGAAACAAGAGAAAATTTTTTGTATGGGGAGCGGTAGGAGGGGAGGAGGAATAGAAGGGGAAGAAGAAAGATCAAATTTCACATTAATTTAATAATTTCCCACGTGAAATAAAGTTTTCTATAAAAAAAAAAAAAAAATTACGGAAGAATTTTAAAAACCGACATTTTTATTTAAAAGTTTTTCTTTCCCCCCCCTTCCCCCTCCCCCTCCCCTCTCCCCATTCGATTCGACGCCTCTAGGGTTTTTTTTCTTCTTTTTCTCCGAAATAAAAAAAAAAATCAACTGGAAAAACTTTTCTACGTCACATAAACGTATTATAATATTCCCGCGTAAAAGAAAAAAAATTTCCTGTTTGTTCCCTTTTGTAAAATTTATAGAAGAAATTTTTTTTTTTTTTTTCAACACACCGGAAACGAATTAAATTTTTTTTTTTTTTTTTAT